ATCACTGATGATAAGCAAGGTGAGGAATCAGCCCAGAACTACAAGGATGGAGCTGGTCAATGACATGAAGAGAGCTGGGACCACAGTTTCAAAGGTCACTGTCGGTAGAACACTATGCCGTCATGGTTTCAATTCATGCATTGCACGGAAGGTTCCCCTGCTCAAGTCATCACATGTTCAGGCCCATCTGAAGTTTGCTAAAGACCATCTGGATGATCCAGAGGAGGCATGGGAGAAAGTCATGTGGTCAGATGAGATCAAAGTAGAACTTTTTGGTCTAAACTTCACTCGTCGTGTTTGGAGGAAAAAGAAGGATGAGTTGCATCCCAAGAACACCATCCCTACTGTGAAGCATGGGGGTGGTAACATCATGCTTTGGGGGTGCTTTTCTGCGAAGGGGACAGGACGTCTGCACTGTATTAAGGAGAGGATGAATGGGGCCATTTATTGTGAGATTTTGAGCAACAACCTCCTTCCCTCAGTCAGAGCATTGAAGATGGGTCGTGGCTGGGTCTTCCAAAAAAATCATACAATGTGATTTCCTGAATTTTTTTTTTATTCTGTCTCTCAGAGTGGGAATGCACCTACAATGTGAATTTCAGACCCCTCCATGATTTCTAAGTGGGAGAACTTGCAAAATCGCAGGGTGTTCAAACGCTTCTGTTCCTCACTGTAAGTAAAAACACATCTGTTGTTGAAATTTACAAAATGAAAACACCTTATTTGTGGTTTGTACTAAAAGGAACTTATTAGGCTCATTTAATGCTGTGGTTATCTATTGACACCTGGTTGTTTGTAATAAAGGCACAGGCTTTGTCATATAGCATATTGGTAAACATTTGCTGAGTTGATTTCAGTCACTGCTGAGAGACCCACATCTCCTCTGGCACCCAGTTGCATGCTCAGCAGTACAGTTCTCTCAGAAAGTTGCTTTCAGTTCTGAAAAATACAATGTGCTGAAGAATTCAACAGTGACACACTTTGAGTCGCCTGATGTGACCAGGAAATTAAGATGGAAGAATAAGGCAAAGAAACAGCAGAGTAGTTGTTGACATTTTAGATAGCCAGTGACTAGAACACCAACACAACTGACACCTATTTTAATCGCCAAACCAAGAGTGCATAATTTTATTGACACTACTTATTGACTTTGGAAACATCATGGAATTATTGCATTTAAAAAACTTGTCTTTTATAGGTGTGGTATGAAAGACCCAGTGACATCTAGCAGTGAGGTTGCAGATCACAACATTCAACAAATCTTTCAAACAGTGATCATCGTAAAGGTAGGACAAATTGCGCACACGGAAAACAAGTGCAGCTTTCTTGGTCAAGTCAGCTAACACAGTGTAATTTTCAAGAAGGCTTAACACACACAGTAAGGTGTGCAATAGTGCCATTTTATTCATTAGGTTAGGCATATTAGTAAACTGCCAGACTTTAAACATTTACCTTGGGTGCTCCAAGTACTCCTACTGTAATTGCATGAAAAGAATCACAACAAAAATCTAACATCAGCTGGCTTGACTGGTTTTTTTGCTGACGCCGTTTCACTTGACCACAGTTAACTTTAAAATGTCCTCTTTCTTTGTGTCTTTGCGTCTTTGATGACAGGGATTCACCCTGTAATCTTTTTTCTTGTGTTAAAGTTTGACTATGATCCTCCATATAACAAATTATAGTTCATAATCTCACAACATGAACATGACTGTTGGTGTTTTCAAAGTGAAGTTACGCTAGCACGTAGCAAACCACAGTTGTTTAAAAAAAAAAAAAGACTATGTTATTTAACAGTTCTTTTTCTACTGCCACGACCCAACTTTAAATGCTCCTCAGAACTTTATTGTGGGATATTGTATCATCCATCTTGACAAGAAAAAAGTCACACTTACTTTATTATAGTCTTCAAGATCTCTCCTCAGATTCTTCCTGTCTCTGTGAAAGCAAATGTGCTAATGAGTGAAATCCCACACATGCAGTCATTGTTAAAATGGTTAAGCAGTCAAATGAAGACTTCAACCCTAACACATGACACAGACAGTTCTGACATTTGGAGTCAGAGGAGCGAAATTTGGGACCATGGGAAATCAGGGCAAATGATAAGGCCATTGTTCTGTGCAGAGTTGCAATGCCCCACGGTTTCCCTGCTGTAAGGGTAATGAGTGAAGCCCCAAATGGCTATAAAGAGACAAATGGACTTGAATAATTCTGTCATGCAGGGGTGGAATTCATATTGTGTCACAAATACATTTACAACACAACAAACCTTTAATTCAGCTCATTTGTAAGTTCTGTATGCAGTATTCAGTGAAAGTAACTGAGGTTCTTCCCTGTTTGCTGTTCTAGTAGTTAATGATGTAGTAGTGGAGGGAATAAGTTGGGTCTCCACTCTACTTTATTCATCTTTTTACTTTGCTATTCCTCATTTTCAAAGGCAAGATGTGCATAACACAGTAGTTGATGAAAGCAGATAAAAAAGACCAGCCAGCAGGATTTATTTATGGATTCACTGAGGCTACTTTTTTTTTTTTTTTGGGACCAGGCCCAACTATGGGCATTCTAGCCACCAGTAAATTTATTCCACACTCTCTAAAATGATGACATACACCAGGCTTTGTTGTGGGGGGAGTGTGTTTACTGTGAGGCAGTATGAGCTTCCCTGTGCAGTTGTTTGGTCTGACCTCTCCTCCCCGCCAGTGACATACCATTAACTACTACACATGCTTCTCTGTACACCTACCATCCCTCGTCAGCGCAGGCAATATATTTTGTTTGTCTTTTTCAAAGGTGGTACTGCTGGTGCTATACTTCCAGTCATTTACAAGGCGCTATTGCTTACCTTACACTATGTTAATGGGCCTTACAGATGTCCTTCAAAGGATGGTGCAGTGTGTTCTTTTATGAAGAATAATCGGAATCGAATATCAATTTTCAAACATTTATTATCATAACTAAACAGACCATCGAATAAAGCAATTTACAGAGCTCTGGGTTCCATCTCTATCTGAAGCCCTGACCTCAACAGCAAAACCATTCAACCTGACTACAGGAGGAGAAGGAACGCTGTCCTCCTCCATTCAGTTGTTTTTATACAATTTCAAATGTGCCCTTGTAAACTGGTCCGGTCCTCTCGTGCTGTTCTATTGGTCCATGTATCCATCCGTCCTCCTCCTGCGTCCTTTCTGCTCCAATGGGAAAGGCAGCTTCCTAAAGATGGAGGAAATTCTACTGTCTGAATTCCTACACTCACTTCTTTCTTTGTTACACTATATGTGACATGGCTTCCCCCCAAATTCCCTGGCCTCTTCAGCCAGGTGGTAATATAACTTAACTGTGGACCCTCTTTGCTAAAGCTGTAAATCTAATGTGATTCAGTGTTTTAGTGAACCAGTCTCCCTTTGATGTTAAACAGTGCTCCAGTTGGCTAACACAGTAAATACTAGCCAAGAATTCAGTGAACACATAGAATGATATACTCAACTATGTAAACATAATTGTAACATATAAGTAAGCAAACTTATGTGTGCTCTAAACTAAATCTTAACTATGATAGAATTACCATACGCAAACAAAGTAAACACACAGGTTGACTAATCAACAAGCATAATGTTAATCTTCTACTAATTAAGTTCTTAATTTATCAAATGTTAGAATCAACCTTAAAGTATGACTTTGTTAATAATTTTACCCAACAATGGAGAGAAAGGAGTTTGTTCTGTAGTCATGTCACATTACTGGTCTTTCAGAACTGATGTCACTGTTGACAGTTGCAATTAAGTGTAAAATAATGTGCTGTTCCTTTCCTGTCAAAGCAGAGGGACTTGGGCAGGATGCCTTCACCCAAAAATGGCCAGAGGGATAACTCTTCTGCACAGTGCCATTTAATGGATATGGTGGAGTGTACCAGTGTGCTGGCAAAATGGAAGAAGTTGCTAGTTGTGTGGATGTGTAAGCATCCACACTATGTTATGCAGTTCTTTATTATTATTATTATGGGCCAATACTATAACATGCCATTGGCTGCCTGTGTGTCACGTGACTCCCCGGTCTAGCAGCTCTCGCTTGCTTTTACTCTTCCTCTTGCCGCTTTTCTGCTCCTATTATGCCATTCTTAAGCTTTATACACATATAATAGATGACAATCATAGAGAAAATTGTCACGAATTGAGCTGTCAGTGTTACTGAGATGGGATGAATGGTATTTGCGTTAAGTCGCTCATTCCAGACATACCGTCTCACTGCTCTATAGACTTACAGTCAATACAGAAGATCCGCTGAAGCAAGACATCGGCATATTTGTAAATCGCAACTGTTCCTTCATTTTGTTTAATCTTGACATAATACAACAGTGGAATAACACAACAAAGCGCTGTAAATATTAATAGTGGGTGTCACGTTTGCTCATCGCCGTGTCTCTCGCTCCCTGACTTGCAGTCAAATAATACGCGCTGGAAGGAAAACGTCTTTGTAATTATAAAACGCCACGGTTCCTTCAATTTGTTTAGTATCATGACATAATACAACAGTGTAATAACACAACAGGGTGCTCTATTTGTTTGAAACTGAATGCAGAAATGCAGGTCTGGTTGTCGCTCCCTGCGTCTCTCTGCAGACGCTGTCAACAGCTGCTTGTCAACTGTATTCAACTCGTGAGAAGCTGAACCTTACTATCTCAGGCATACCGTGGGCTAGAAATGCCATTCTAACTGTATTCAACTCGTACCAGATAGTGATGCAACTGGTCAAGATGCTCTCAATGATGCAGCTGTAGAAGTTGCAAAGGATCCTAGGCGACATGCCAAACCTCCTCAGCCTCCTCAGGAAGTACAGCCGCCATTGGGCCTTCTTGACCAGCTGTGTGGTGTTAAGTGTCCAAGTGAGGTCCTCACTGATGTGGACACCCAGGTATTTGGAGCTGCTCACCCTCTCCACTTTGAGCCCCCGGATGAACAGTGGCTGGTGAGTTCTCCTCTCCTTCCTCATGTCCACTATCATCTCCTTCGTCTTGTCCGTCTTGAGGCTATTTAGCTTTATTCTGAAAATTCTGCCCCATTCAAATGAATGGGAAAATTCTTCAGCACACTTTCAGCTATTTCAGCTATCAAAATGTTCAGCTCTTCAAGGACATTCATACTTGTCTTCAGGATTTTTCTAAACTTCATACTTTTGAAATATTTAGTTTTATTTTGAAAGTTTTGCCTTTTTCAAATGAATGGGAAAATTCTACATCATACTTTCAGCTATTTCAGGTATCAAAATGTTCAGCTCATCAAGGACATTCATGCTTCTGTTCAGAATTTTTCTAAACTTCATAATTTGTAGACTATTTAGTTTTATTCTGAAAAATCTTGCTCCATTCAAATGAATGGAAATATTCTACTTCAGCATATTTTTAGGTATTTCAGGTA